TCCGGGACCGACTGGGCCCGCGCGGGTGGGGCTTCGGCAGAGGAAGGGACCGGGGTCTGGGGGATTACTTTGCTTGGACAAAGAGCCAACGCACGCGTTTCAAAACGCACCGACAGGGACACGGTCTTTAAGACGTCTCTTCCAAAAGCTGCCGGTCGTGTCGAATTTCTCCTCCGTCACCCGGAGACGTGGGGCCGCTCTCTCTAACCACCTTCACTCCCGCAGCGCAGTCCCAAGGAATGGAGCCCGGGGGCCACCTGAGAAACCCGTTTTCTTTTTTCCTTTTCTCTTTTTCTTTCCTTTCGTCTGTAACTCAAATAAAGGCTGTGATGGTTGCCGCGGTTTTGTTTTTAAGGCTTTGCCCTCTCTCCCACTTTTCTTCCCTGAATTTATTACTTTGAGGGAAACCCCTAGAAAGAAGCCTCTGAGGTGGAAAACACTGAGATCGGGTCTTTTTATTAAAGCGCGCATTTTTCTCCCAGTTCACCACGAAGTGGCAATATTTTGCCAAATTAGTGCCTAATTAGTAACGACACGTTTCTAAAGGACGAGGTCTCTGCGCCAGCACTTGGCCTCTTCCTTCTCCTTTTTGTGAAAAAAGCGTTACGAAAAGGTTCCTACCGCTGCCCTACAAGACAGGAGTCACGCACCCCCTCCTTCATTTTCCTGTCTAGCCCAGGGCTTCGGGGAACTTTTTGCGCATTGCTTTGGTCTCAGACTAAATTTTACAGGGCTTCTGCCCTTTCCCAGTTTCTGCTCTTAGTTTACATCGGGAATGATAAGATTTGACTGAGCTATGTCTTAGGTTACTGCCCAATTTCGTCAGAAAAGACTGTTTAGAATGGTTTCGAATGCCCGTTCTCTGGAGAAGGGAGGGGCTGATTTGTCTTTTTATTTTTCAGGCTGAGGCTTCCTGACATCCCTCCCATCCCTTTGCGCCCCACCCCCCCCCCCCGCCCCGTTCCAACCTGCTTCTTAGGGACAGTTCCATCTAGCTCACCTGTACCCTCCCCTCTCTCCTCTCTCCCCTCTCCCCAAAGTCTGCGTTTTGTTTTTCTCTAAGATGGTAACGCGAGTCTGAGTGTGAAGGGCTCTTCACTGGGTTTTTGTGCTCACCGCTCTGTCTTATATTCACTTCTTCCCTGCTTGAAATGAAAAAAAAGGGAGGGGGGCAAAGGACAGGTCTCCAAAAGCCTGGCTGTGCTTCAGAATTACCTGAGACCTGCTTGTAAATAAAAATCAAAACACAGTGTATGTCTGCAAAAGAATTCTAGAATTCTAAGTGGCCGTTTATCCAGCTGGCCTTTTCCTCCACATTCAATTTGTGTATTTTCACCTTAACCATTTCTTCTCTGTCTTTCCTCTTTGTCTCTCCCCCGATATGTTTTTCAGGCAATGTCTTCGTGGTCAGCCTCTGCGTAGCTGATCTGCTGGTGGCCATCTACCCATATCCTTTGATGCTACATACTGTATCCATGGGAGGCTTGGACATGAGGCAGTTACAGTGCCAGATAGTTGGGATCATCACCCTGATGAGCATGGTCGGCTCCGTCTTCAACATCCTGGTAATGGCCTTCAACCGTTACTGCTACATCTGCCACAACATCTATTACAAGCAAATCTTCACTGCGCGCAACACCGCGTTGTTCATGATCGCCACCTGGGTGGCGACCATCCTGGCTATCCTGCCCAACGTGTACTATGGCATTGTCAAGTATGAGCCTCACGCCTACACCTGTGTCTTCGACTACACGAAGAGCCGTGTCTTCAACCTGACCATGGTCTCTGTCCACTTCATCCTCCCTCTCCTGACCGTGAGTTTCTTCTACTGGAGGATCTGGAAGAAAGTGCTGGCGGTCCAAAACCAGGTTGAGCAGGATCCCGACCAGTTAGCTAGTGCTCGCAATTTTCTAAACATGTTTGTGGTCTTCCTCCTCTTTGCAGTGTGCTGGTGCCCTCTGAACACGCTCACTGTCCTTGGCACTGTCGGTCCGAAGGAGATGGCAAGCACAATCCCTAACTGGCTGTATCTGGTAGCCTACCTCCTAGCCCACTTAAACAGCTGCGCCAATGCCTTGATCTACGGCTTCTTTGATGAGAATTTCCGACAAGAATACCGGACCATTTATCATGTCATACGGCACCCCCTCCTCTACTTCTCTGGCGTCATCAGTGATTACTATGACACACCAGAAGACCCTGGCCCACCCCCCATCCTTGCCCATGTCGGTGCCCGTGAAGATGCCATTGAAGACATCTTGGATGAAGCCTGCAAACCGGACTTTGGACAAGATCACTCCCTTGCCCTTGCCCTTCCCGCTATAGAGGAAATCCCGGTGGTCATCCATGATGTTCCACTGCCTGGAGATGCTGCAGCTGGCCACCTCGATGAGGCCCCTGTCATCCCCAGATCCCCCTTTAGGCTTGCCTCTCCTGCCTGCAGATCTGTCCGTAGGCTTGTCTCTAGGCACTTCAGGGCTGAGTATTTCCACTTCAGTCCTGCATCTGTCCACCTCAGGGGTGATTTTGTCTATTTCCAGGCTGAATCTGTCTATTTCAGGTCTGTTTCCTGCCACATCCAGTCCGTCTCCGGTCGTGTCTCTGCTGGCAGCTATTCCAAGTTTATCTTCAACGCTGCCACCAGCCGCCGCCGTCGTCGGTCTGGCACCTTTGGCCTTCCAGCGCCTCCCTCCCGCTCTGCCGCCGGCCTCCTGGAACTCGTCGCCAGCCAGCTACAGTCTGCTGCCGATGCTGACTTTCCTGGCCCTGCTGAGCTCGAGGCTGCTGCAAGTAATTACCAGGATGTGGCAATTGATGTCGAAGATGATTTTGAGGAGACATCTGTGTGAAAGGTGGTCCCGTGGGTGGTCAGGCAGTGGTACCCTTCCGGTTTGTTTTGCACAGGTAATTCAAAGTGAGACACCTTTATTGCATCTACACACAGACAGAGACACATGCAGAAACTGACCCACAGACATGGCATGGTGTGAGCTCCATTCTCTTTTCAAGCATACTGCTCCTTTACATAATGTCTCTACAATAAACCACAAAGGTAGCCGGGCGTGGTGGCGTGCGCCTGTAATTCCAGCTATTGGAAGGCTGAGGTGGAAGGATCGCCGGAGCCCAGCAGGCGGAGGCTGCAGTGGCAGTGAGAGTGCCACTACACTCCAGCCTGGGCGACAAGAGTGAGGCCCCAACTCAAAAAAAAAAAAAACAAAAAAACACACACAAAAACAAAACAAAACAAAAAAAACTTGTGTGCCCATGTGAGTATTTGTGCGTGTACTTGCCACTTTTAAGACCTCATTCCCTCAAGTTTGACATACGTTGTTCCCAGCCTCCCTTCCCTCCTACAGTTGACCTTCAGCTCTTAAGACCCCTGAAATACTAGACTTCGACTTTGCCCTGTCCCCTCTCCTTCCCTTCTCCCATTTCCTCAAGACCGTGTTTCTGCTTTACTCTCCCACTCCCCAGGGGTGAGGAAGAAGTGCATGCTCTGTGATGATGGTGTATTGTGAAGGTTTCCTTAAGTGATGTGACTGCTTTACTTTGTGCTTGTAATTGTGTAACTCTATTGTACTTTTAATGGCAGTCAGAAAAGCAGTTGCGATCAAATGCAAGTACTTGAAAGATTTTTTCCTGAATTTCAGCGACAGCGTAAGACCCATATCTGATGAGTACGATTTGATAAGCTTTTATTAAAATACATTTTTTTTCTGCCTAAGAGATCAAACGGCAAGAGGAAAAGATAAGGACACACTAAATTATTTCTATTTTGTGAAAATCCCACCGTTGGTGCTGATTTTTATAGTCAAAGCTGGTTGCAAAGGATGAGATGTTTTTACCTTCTTTGTAATTATTTTCCTTCTTATTTATTTGCCAGGATTTTCTTTCATTTAATTCCAGAGAAACAGATCCGTTCACAAACTCATTTCTTCTCCTAAAATCCAATCTTACGGTTGCTAGGATCAGTTTGAGTCATCAGCACACTCGACAGCCCAGGACATGATTTTTCTCTAAAATTCAAGAAAAACTTGCTTCTTCAAAAAAAGTTAAATTGTCGATTCAAACTGACACTGTAAGCAAAGTTTACTGCACAAAAGCTTGTAAAGATCCGTGGAAATGTATTATACTGCCTTAATTCTATTCTGTATTTGTGGTAACAATTAAATAAACGTTTTTGTGACTCTAGTTTGTGATTTGTTGGTAACTTCATTTCTTCCACCAGTTACTTGTAGGGAGGGTTACAGGATGAGGGTTGGAAAACTTGGCCTTGGGGGATCGGAAAACTTGGGTGCAAGTCCTATCCCTGCTACGAGCTTGCTGTATCCCAGCCAAGTCTCGTGAGCCCTCTCACTTCAATCTCTTTACTTAGAAATCTGTGGAGAGGTCGGGGAGGAGATGGGAAGGCCTTGCTGGGACTGGTATGTTCTTTTTACTAGCGTGGTGACATTGGATGATCCGACCTGCCTGCTCTTGGACTTCTGGACCGTGCCTGCCGTGGCTTCTAGAAAGAGGTCTCTCTTTAACATCCTGAAAGGAGTGAAGCCAGGCCCCAATAAGGTTATGAGCCCAGAGACTGCTGGGACCAAAGAATAGAGCTTGGAGGCCGTGGGGTGGGGTGGGGTGGGGTGGGGGTGATGGTTTTCTGGGAGGTGAGTGGCGAGACCCCAGACCCTGGGCAAGACTCCTGATCTCAGGTGCATAGTCTTAAGAGAATCTCTGACGATAAGTGTTCAAAATATACTGCTCGGTAAAAATCAAAGTGGATTCCAAATCATACACAATAGGACATCAATTTTTTTTTTCAAAAGGATGCACACAACATGCACGTATACATAGAGACACGGTTATGCAACGTAGTTGTTCTGGCCAGGCTTTGCCAGGCTTTGAGCACAGACTGAGGTCATCTTAACTTTCAATGCCTGAGTTACAGTGCATCGTGACTGCAGGTCCTCAGGCTGACTGCATCCTGTGTGAGATTTCTGCCAGCTATTCTTAGATACCTACGGAGGATGATTACAAACCGCTCCGTGGTCAGCACCTCCTCCCTTTGTTTGTCATGTTCTCTCTCTCTCAGCTCACACCCAAGAAGTTGCCTTGGGTGACACTGCAAGTGTCCAAACCAAGGGTACTGTGTCGCAGTGCTCTGAGCTGCCATTCTCCAGGAGTTTACGAGATTTGAAAGGAGATGGGACAGGTGAGGAAAACTATCCCCCTTAGAGCGGTGGCTCATGCCTGTAATCCCAGCACATTGGGAGGCAGAGGCAAGAGGACTGCCTAAGCCCACGGGTTCGAGACCAGCCTGGACAAAACAGCAAGACCTGGTCTCTACAATAGATCAAAAAATTAACTGGGCATGGTGGCACATGCCTGTAGTTCAGCTACTTGGAAGGCTGAAGTGGAAGGATTGCCTGAGCCCAGCAGGTCGAGGCTGCGGTGGCTGTGAGTGTGTCACTGCACTTCAGCCTGGGTGACAGAGGGAGAATCTGATGCAAAACAAAACAAAACTTTTGTTTCACACTTTGTCCCCAGTGCCAGATCACACCAAGGCTCCTGAAAGCAGGCGTTCAGCCACCTGCAGGCTTCTGTCACCAAACTCCCTGCTGTGCCCATAATCACCCACACAGGAACAAGCAGCACCTCCATCCCACTGCCATCTCAGTTTATACACACTCCAGCAACAATTTTCTCTGTCCCTTTCCCTTACCCTGTTCCCTGTCGCCCACCACCCCCCCTCCCAAAGCCAAGAAGCCTCCGAAGCACATTCTGATCCACTCCGCTTACCTGAGTGACCAAGGTAACAAGCTGAGTCTCTGCGGGCAGGTTTAAGTTTGTCATAACTCTCCCTGGAAAAATGCAGGGCTTCTGACTTTACAGCAGTGAGAACGAAAGGATCAATGTTGCTGACTTCCTTGGAGAGAGAATCGGCTTTAAGGTGAGCCAATCTTCATAATCGAGGGATTTTAAAAATGCAAGTGATTTTTAGATTATAGTTCTTCCCAATTTCTAATCCTTTCTTTTTAAATGGAAATATAAGTTATGTAATGTAAAGTGACAGCGCTCGATTATTCTTTTTAACATAACTACATATCCATGTAACTCCCCCTGGACAAGATGATAAAGGATTCCTTCAGTAGACACCCTGGTGTCCCCTACAAATCAATACCCCATCCAAAGGCAGCCACTGCCCTGACCTCATCTTACACTAATTTTGCCTGTCCTAGAATTTTGTATAAATGAAAACATACAGTGTTTATTCTTTTGAGCCTAGTTTCTTTTTATAAAAAGAGATAAAATATGCATAACATCAATGTTACCACATTAACCATTTAAAATGTACAGCTCTGTGGCATTAAGTATATTTATACTGTTGTGCAATCATCACTACTATTCATTTCCATAATGTTTTCATCACCCTAAACAGAGACTGCTGGGAGCAAAGAATAGAGCTCACGAGGCAGTGGGGAAATTTTGTATGGATGAAGTAATAACTCCCTATCTCCATCCCCCTCTCACTAGGCCCTGGAAATCACCATTCTACTCTCTGTCTCTATGAATTTGCCGACTCTGGGTACTCATCTGAGTGGAATCATACAATGTGGGTCCTTTTGTATCTGACTTCTTTCACTTAGCATAATGTCCTCAGGGTTTAACCACATCAGAGCGTGTATAAGTACTTTATTTAATTAATGTATTGATTTGTAGCATATTTAAAATTTTAGATTCAGAGAGTACATGTATAAGTTTGTTACAAGGATATATTAGACACTGCTAAATATTTTTTCCAATGTATGAGAGTGCATCATGGAGGGGTTTGGGCTTCTGCTGACCTGTCGCCCAAACAGTGAACATGGTACCAAATAGGTGATGTTTAAGCCTTGTCCCTGTCCCTTCTGCTCCCCTTTAGAAGTCCCCAGTGTCTTTTCAGGGATCCAATCCTTAAATGTCTGGAAGAGAACAGGGAATAACAACAACTAGAGAAATGAGAGGGTTATCAGGCCTACTCTCTATCACCATGAACACAGAAATATTTTCTATTTTAAAACCGTAGTGTGTGCTCTTTATTGCAATTTTTTGAGTTCAGTGATGAAATTGGCACTATGTAAAGAAACTGAGGTGTAAAACTAAAGTTTCCAAATGTGAATACGGAAAAAAAAGAAGTCCCCAGTGTTTGTCATTTCCATCCTTATGTCCATGTGTACCCAGTGTTTAGCTCCACTTACAACCAAGTACATGTGGTATTTGGTTTTCTGTTTCTGCATTAGTTGACTTATAATAATGGCCTCTAGTTGCATCCACATTGCTACTGAAGACACCATTTTGTTCTTTTTTTATGGCTGCATAGCATCCATAATGCCTATGTATAACATTTTCTTTTTCCAATCTACCTTTTATGGGCACCTAGGCTGGTGTCATGTCTTTGCTATTGTGGATAGTACCAGCCAAACTATTTTTTTTAAAAAGAGGTCAGTCCCTATTGTCCATTTTGAATTGCCTTGTTTGTTTCCTACGGTTGAGGGTTGAGTTCTTTGCATATTTTGGATACAAATTCTTTATCAGATATGCTTTGCAGAATATTTTCTCCTAGTCTGTAGTTTAGCTTTTCATGCTCTTAACACAATAGAAGTTTTTAATTTTAATTTTCATGAAGCTTAATTTATCACTTTTTTCTTTTCTAGATTGTCTTTTTGCTGTTGTAGCATCTACAACGTCATTGCCAGATTCAAGGTCACCTAGATTTTCTCCTCTGTTATCTCTTAGGCATTTTATAGTCTTTCACTTTAGATTTAACTCTATAGTTGATTTTGATGACATGTTTTTACTTTTGGAGAAAGGTGTAATTCGT